GCCCCTGACTGACAGTCCGCATGGCCAATGAGCGTGCGGCACCGCCGCCCAGGCAGCCAGTGGACGCCGGCCTGGGCGGGGACCGATTTTCCACGGGGAGGTGGCAGTGGGTTGGTGGGGGTAGTGGGTGTTTTTCTCTTTCACACGCTCTCTTTTTATTTTCATTTTGGAGCTGTTATTATTTTCTGGTAATTCTCGATGTTTTTGTGAGTCTCTCGCCTTTTCAGTGTTTGATTGCTAGGAGGCAAACCAGCGTGGAGGCGGCGGCGACACTTTGTTTACTACTGAGGAGCAAACCCTCGTACTCGGGAAGCACCAGTGGAACAAGTCCCTCGCTTTGCCTCGACCTCCGCTTCGGGCCCAAAGTGTGGTGAAGCAAGGAGGAGGCTAGGGGACTTGCCGCGCGCTGGGGGCGCTAGGTGGGCGGGTGGAGGCGGCCTTACAGAATTCTATTCAGTCGCCCGGCTCTGGGCTCCACCCACGAGTTCTTTGCAAAGAAACGTGGGGCAGTCAGTGGGTTTTGTTTTGGTGTTTTCTTTTTCTGCGATCTGTCAAGTCCTCCGGCCCCCGCGCAGGCCGCACACGCCCCCCAGCGCCGCGGCCCGTGCAGTCAAGTCCGTGCGCGGAGCACCCTCCCGCCGCCTACGCGCCAGGAACCCACCTGTCTGCACCCCTTAACTGAGCCTCTGCGGTTCGGTCTAGCCCAGGGCCAGTTGTGCAACCACCATCCGGGTTTACTCACTCCATTCTTGACCTAAAAGACTAGAAAAGAGGGGAAAGGGCTCGGCATGGCGAATATAGTCCTATTTCACACGCACACACAGTCACAAAGGCATCCTAAACCTCATGCCTTCCGTGGGAACCTCTTCTGAGCGAGAACCTCATATTGTCTACCGAGGCAATCCTGAGACGGCAGGGAAGTGGTTTGAGGAGAGCATTTAGTGAGGAACTTGTCACTTTAGTTCTTATCCCTAATTAAGTTCAACTGCTCGTAATTTATTTGCTATTTAGAATGGAAGTTATGAGGCGCTGAGTAAAAACTCAAGAGCCTTGAGGCACTACCCTGCCCCACCTCCAGGTTCCTTCAGGCTGCTTGCCGCGTGCGTCAGTCAACCCACCCACCTTGGCCCACCTTTCTCCGTCAGGGCTCCCTGTCCAGGACGTCCTGTGGAGATCAGTGGGACCAAAGGTAGAAAGACAATGGTCCTTGTGTCTCAGGGAGCAAAAGAAACAGTTTTCAAGTTTTGTTTTGCTTTGCTTTGCTTTTTTAGGAGGAACATGGAAGGCATTTCCTTTCAAAGGGATGGAATCACTTTAGATGGAAGATTGACAGGGTTTTAAATATCTTGTCTAAAACGACAGCTCCCAATTCTAAAAACAAAACAAACAAAAACCCTCTCTTTCTTACAGGTACTTATTCAACTGAAAAAAAAAATGCCATCTTAAGAAAATTAGGCCTCTTTTACAAAAGTTTGAAGACTTAGAGATTTATTTCTTCCTTTACATTGTCTCATCTTCCTAGTCCAGACCCCAATTTCTTCATAATGTACTTATCACAACAGCTTTCTACTGATACTGGGGGTGGGTGGGGTATGGGTTGGGAGCCTTGGTGAATTGAGGATAGTGTTATTTATCCGTCCCCCCGCCCCCGCCCCTTCTCGTGTGGTCTTTTGTGTTTATTATCAAATTTGGACAATTCTGGCCTCTTTTGCCAGACGCTAGGGAACTCAGTAACCCAGATGATGAGCTCCAAGGAAGGTCATAAAGTCGAGTTGTTGCTACCATCAGCCTTTCCAATTACACTATGCAGAGGCAGCCCCCAATCCAGATGGTCACACCCTACAAATAGGCGGTGCCCTAGTGGATCATTCTTGGCAAAGGAAGCCAGCTGCAAATTTGGCCTTACCTTCATTTCAATTCCGGTTTTTCAAGGCCTCAATCAGGGGAGAGCATTTAGTTAAGGGGATATTGTTACAGATTTCTCCCCGATCCTTGAAATCTGGGCTATCCTGCCTAATTGTTTGAATGTCATAGTTTGCTTTATTTTGCTCTTTTGTAAAAATTTGACTTGAAGCAGGAAGACCACCTATAGCACCAATGTCTCTGATGCATAGCTCAAAAAAATTTTAAATGTATGGTAAAGGTATTTATAGCTGCCTACTATGTCATTGTTTGTATCAATTTACTAAACCGTAGAGTACTGGTAAACATTTGGCTAGCTATTCTGTAATGAATAACCTCATATAACTCAGTTTGCATCTGTCCAAGTATATCTATAGGAGGAATTTCTGGAAAAGAGATCACTGGGTCAGCAGTTAAATGCATTTGCAATTTTGAGACATGCTGCCAAAATTGCCCTCCATAAGGGCTGTAGCAAGTTAAACTTTCTTTTCAGCTAGCCCCACAGAATGTTACAGTTGAGAATAAACTTGGAGATCACTTTGGTGTCCCCCTTTAATTTATAGATAGAGAAATTGAGGCACTGAGAGACTGATTTGCCCAAGGCCCTATGGCCCAAAACCAGGGCTAGAGCTTCAATCTATTGCTTTCCCATCAAGAATTTCAATACACAGTTGGAAAATTATAAATACTCTGTAATCCCAATATAGGGGTAATCACTATAAAACTTTGTGGTGTGTTCTTCTCCAGACGATCCCACAGATTTTAGTAATTTTAGTTAGATGGACTCAACTGAATGAAGCTTTGATTTAAAAGGTTTAAAAAGCAGACACAAAAAGGTGATGGTGATAATAAGATAATGAAAGAAAAAAGATTTTTAAAAAGTTTACAATAAAGTGGTGTTTTTTAGTCAAAAATGTAAACATTTTCTCTCTCTTTAAAGGATGCCAAAGTATTTAGGTTGGCACTAGTTCTGCTTAAAATAAAAAAGTTCATTTTCCTGTTAGTATTTTTTGTGGTAGCTGTTTGCTTTGAAGGCTTTTTCTAATGGTTATCAATTACTAGTTGGCACATATATCATGATAATTAAAATAAAAAAGGAAATTTTTTCTCACAGAGCCCATCTCACAGACCAGTGTGGCATTCTTTTCTCTGCCTGGTTTTTGGAGAAATATTGCCATCATCCTTGACAGGAAAAGTGAAGGATGGTTTCTTTTGATCAATTCTCAGGCAGAAACTTCTGCAATTACCTCTCACCATCAACACACCGATCTCTGGTTTAAAATCTTACTAACCAAAATAGATTATTTAAGTCCAAAATAACCCACAACTGCCCATTTCCAATATTTTGTCTGAATTATTAAGAGGCACTGCTGTCAACTTAAAACAGCCTTTCTTCATTTTGCATATAGAAACTACTAATCTGAAAAAACACAGCTTTGGGTTCTTAAACCAATGTCCTGAAAGCTGGCATATTAAATGGTATTATAGTAATCAAAAGTAATCATTCATTTTTCTAAAGGGATAATTTCCTTTGGATTTTGTTGTTCATTCAACAAATATTTATAGACCGTGTAAGCCAGGTACTGTACATCTTAGAGTACATTGTTTTGATGGCAAATTCCTTGAGGTTATAAGTGGTTAATTTTATTTCCCTTTATATGACATTTGATGTCAGAATTAAGACTATGTTGCTCTTAAATAATCAGCAATGCATATTGACAATATTTTAGAGGAATTACACATAAAAAAGTATTTGATAGATACAAGGACTACTAAAGCAGGAAAAAATTGAAATATTATCATCAGCGGCATTTGGAAGAAAAATAATAAAATGAGGTAGAAAAGCTAAATAAATGAACCATCCGCAGGCATTTGGAGTATGAACTCTGGCCATAAAGCCTTGGTGATTAGATAATCTTGCTCCAAAATGGACAAAAGACACAGTTTACATCAGGTTTTTTTTTTTTCTTTTTTTCCTATCAAATAAAAATGATGCTTACTAATCTGTAACTGGGGAGAAGCATTGGGCAAGTCATGAACCAGATGTTCAATATTTTCAGTTCTGTTATGAAGAGCCAATGTTTCTCAGCTTCAAAAAACTCTTCCTTCACTTTAAGTGTTAATGAGAGACTACTTGTGGGTCTCTACAAGAATTCTAAACTATATTTATAAAGAATCTAAATGACCAACAATAGAGAATAGTTAAATAAATAATGGCATATCTGTAAGGTAGAATCGTATGTAGTCATTTAAAATAAAGTGGACAAAGCATTTGTAGTGACATTGCAACAATGCTGATGATGCAGTATTTAAAAGGTCGTAAGGCATTACTGTCAGCTAAAAGTGATAGCAGTTGCTGTATCTGAGTGACAGATTTAAAGATAATCGTCATTGGTCTAACACAAACTCCTCATTGTACAGGTAAGAAAACAGAGACAGAAGTTAAATAATGTGCCCAAGGCTGTACAGTTAGTGAAGTGCTGGGACCAGAATTTGGGCCTCCTAGCATTCAGGCCAAAACCTTTTGCTTTCTATTGCGTTGCTTTTCACATTACCTCTTCTAACTGGAGGTTTTCAGACTATTTGATGAAATTCAACCTATTTTAAACACTAGGTTTTAACTTTCTTTGATATAATAAAACAACTCTCAAACTCCAAATGTTTATACATTACAATTAAAAACATCAGGTACTCATAGAATTGCCACAAAATTAATGGATGAAACATGAAATTCCAAATTCTTTGAATGTCACAAATCTGAATTTTGCATTCATGCTTGCTTGAAACACAATGTGTTTTCACTATTTTATTTCTGTTTCATGTCATATTAAAGTTCCTAACATGCTTCCAAAAAGGAAGGGGGAGGGGAGACATATGTATTAAATAAGAAAATGCTGCCATGTAGAACACAGATGGTAGTACATTTTTGGCAGAAAGTTTAACAAGGCGTTTTAC